TCGTTAATAATAACTAAGTCATAATGTTTTATTGTTATTTTTTTGTTATTCTTGTGTGTGTGTGCAATTTTTTCTGCAGTATCTGGGCTGGAGCTGTTGTTTCAAAGCATCATCACCATTGTGAGTCTAGGTTACTAATTATGTTTCATCTTTTCTTTTTTTTTGTTCATGATTTGATTTGCTATTGTTATTCTATCTTTTGGTAGGGAAAAAGTCTTTTGTTTGAACGGATTGTTATTAATTCTTCTTTCGGTCCACAAAGTCTTCTGCTTTAATGGAATCATAGTCGGAATTGTCAAATTCAACTAATGTAAAAGTCTCATATGTACTTGCATGATTTTCATTTTGTCTATAATATTGTGCTTAGGTTTCTAAGTTTGATTTAATACATGAATCTATTTTTGAAATTTGCACAATTTTTTACCTGTAAGCATGACCGAATTTGGTGCTAGAAATTGTTGGTTTATGAGAATGTTGTGCAAAATTCTTGTTGAAGAGAACTTGATTGGAACAGAAGTTGCAAAATCAGCTGTGAGTGCTTTAGTTTAGTTTAGCAACATGATTGATCTTTCTTTTTAATCGTTTTATTGACCATGCAAATACACGTACATATGAACATCTTTTAATTTTTGACTTTCTAATGCTTTCACAAATACTAGAAACCGAGAGGTCCGGACATGACATTGCGTTGTAGTTGATCTTTGTGAGCTTTTTGGCCGAGAATCAAATTTTCTCATGATAAGCCTTTTTTGAATGCTAAGCCTTATTTTCATCATTAAAGCAGGTTGTAGAACCTCCACCTGAATCAGAAATACTCGAAGAAGACAACCTTAGAAGAAGACCCTCTTTTACCGATGATTCTTCTCTACGAAAATACTTGTTTTCACGCGAACTAGGAAATCTTCAGAAGATGACGAAGATTCTCTTTCGTCCGTGTCTTGTGGGCCCGATTTGGTTGTTCCGGGCTTGGTTGTACCTACTGACAGTAACTCATTGTTCAAGTCGAGTGACGGTGTTGTCCAGACAGGAGCAAGCAGCATTGGTGGTTCTAACCGGTGCAAAATTGCGTGATGATATGTAACCTATTATACGATTTTTTATGCTCTGTTCGCATAACTTACCATTTGGAATTAAATAAAAACCTTTGTTCTGAGTTTGTTGGTTAAGTACATGAGAAAACTTGGAATTTTCAAGATTGTAACTAGTTAAATACATCGGAAACAAATGTTGCGAATGTAGAAGATAATTTGATTAAGCAATAATACTTGCAGCACGATCAATTAGCAAAGCTTCAATCAATGAATTAAATTACTTGCATTTTGTGGTGGTCTAATGCTAATTTGTTTATGTAATTTGCAGATTACCTCCGGATAATAATAGTTGTTGTTGGTTTTGCTTGCAGGACATTTACATCTGAGCAAGGCCTTGATTCCCACACAAAAGCCAAGCATACTGGTAGGATGAAATTGTATTATATTTGAAGATACTGGTTTAATTTTTCTAAGTTAATATCAGATTGTTTATTTTCGTCTCTAATGTCTCTAAACTATAACATGTTTTATATATTTTGTTTTCTTAACTTTTCATGGAAGTTTGATTTGTTTTTATTTAAATGTATGCTTTCAATGTGGATATCTTGCGTGTACCCTCTTCATGATTCATGGTCTTATAAAAATGGTTGAGGTTAGAGATGTTATGAAAATTTTGATCTTTAAGGAAAAGTGAACCAGAATCCAGTCTTTTTCTTTCCAACGGTTTTATCTGTGAGCTGTTGTACATTTTTTTTTCGTAAATTTGTAAATTGGTCTGTATCTTAGATTCTAGCTTTATTTAGCTGAAATATGGACTAAACAGTTGATTCGTAAGTGGAAACACTTTGATTGAAGTCATCAAGCCATGAATATGGTTTTGAAATTTTTGCTTTGATAGATGATTTGGGTTTATTAATCTCTTATTCTTCTGTCCATTTTTTCTGGTGTGCGCTATTCGGGGTTGCTAACTATACTAATTTAAGTGTAGGCTGATTTAATTTTAGGCCTTCGAGTTTGATTTTAGTGAAAGCTATGCCGCGTTCCGATTTCTGTACTACTTTCTGTTGGCACCGGAATTTTTGTCAAAGTAAAGAACAATTATCATGTCATACATTATATGAAACCTCAGAGCTTATAACCAATTCTTGTGCAATTAGTTTCCACTTGCAGCTCATTCGATATATATTTTATTATCAAAACCCCATTGGACTGATCTGAACCCTATTCAAGTTATTGTTGATGTTGTTATCAACAGGTTTGCATTTTGTTTAATGTTTATCAGTGGTCCAAGGGAGGATGCAACCCGTATTGGGTCAGCTGGAGTTGTGAGGAGGCAAGCCGTTGATATCTCTCCTCTTCACCGTGTGAATCAGGCTATCTACCTGCTCACGACAGGTGCACGTCAGAGTGCTTTCAGGAACATTAAAACCATTGCTGAGTGTCTTGCTGATGAGCTTATCAATGCCGCCAAAGGATCTTCCAACAGGTGAACGGTTGTTATAGATTAGTGAGTGGTTGTTATATGCAAATTCGTCATAGATTAGTGAGTGGTTGACTATGTTACTAAATGGTTGACTATGATCTATCAAAATCAAAATATTGTGGTGTAAATGGATGACTATGTTACTAAATTTCTTGGCTTTTAATTTGAAAATTTCTAGTGAGCGATGAACACTTGTACACACCCCTTAAGTAGGTTTCATAAACTATTGTCTTGTGGTATGGTTTTGGCCAATCATGAAATGAAATCGATACTCACACGTGTGTTTGTCTCCACAAACAATGCAATTAACTCTATTTAAAAAGTCTTCGTACGACAAACTCTCCAAATTGTGTGTAAAACGGCTGACCTTGAGCAGTTATTGTTCAATTTTATAGCCTAAGTTCAGTGTGTAAAACGGTTGATCTGGAGCAACAATTAAGTTAAAAAATCCTCCTTTCCCCCCGTAAAAGAATGGAAGTTGGTTGGTAGTTGAGTAGAAAATCCACTTATTCCACGATCTTTGGCTCGCAAGGTAACATATATAGTAGGTAATTGGAACAATTCAGCCAAATCGTGCAAGTCAGATTCACAAGAAATTCTCTATTTTTCCAACTCTCCATTTTCATTTGCCGTCAAGAAGTAAAATCGATACTCAGAAAATTAATTTATGGTCCCAGAAATCAATTTCCGGCGGACTAGAAACGGGATAATTTCTGGGTACCATAAATCACATTTTCGACCGTTTTCGTGAAAAGAAACCCATAAATCACATTTCTGACCCAGAAATCGATTTCTGGGTCAGAAATGTGATTTCTAGGCCAGAAATCTATTTCTTGACAAGAAATCGATTTCTGGACTAAGAATTGATTTTTTGTCCAGAAATGTGATTTCTGGTAAGAAATCACATTTTTGGCCCAAAAATTGATTTCTAGAATGGTTTGTAGAATGATTTTTGAAATCACACAAATTGTTCATACGATTCGAAAAATATTTTTGTGAAGAGATCCCATAAACCGTGTTTCTGGGACAAGAAATCGATTTCTGGGACTAGAAATCGATTTCTGGGAATAGAAATAGATTTCTGGTCCAGAAATTGGATTTCTAGTCCAGAAATCGATTTCTGGGCCAGATATCACATTTCTACCTCAGAAATCGATTTCTAGGCCAGAAATGTCATTTATAACCCAGAAACGTATTTCTTGCCCACAAATCAAATCAATTTCTGGGCAAGAAATCACATTTCTGATACTATTAATCTAGAAAATCGATTTCTTGGCAAGAAATTGATTTATGGACAGGAAATCAATTGTTAGTAAAG